CTGCGTGCCCCTTTGCCTTCTCCTCCTGAGTCCTCTCTTCCTGCGCTTGCCGACCCTGAGTCGGACTCTCTTCGTGCTGCCAGTCCTACTGTCACGCGTCTGCTTGCTACTGTTGTCACTGAACCCTCTTTTGAGTCCACTGCTGCGTCTGCTCTAGTCGCTGAGCTCGTCGACTTTGCTGCTCGCTGTCGTCTCGACTACGCTGCTAGTCTTGTTGCTGAGTCTGCGTCTGTCTGTCCTCCGTCCGTCGGGGGTGAGTGTGCTCTTGGCACGGACGTCCTAGAGGACAGGCAGGAGGAGTTACAGTGTCTAGCGGCTGCTTCACCTCATCTCGCGTCTGTACTGCTTGCCCCTGAGGGAGACCCGGATGCACTAGACATCCCGACTCCGCGTTCTTACGCGGAGGCCGTAGAGGGTCCCTACTCCTCTCAGTGGCAGGCAGCTATGGATGCAGAGATGGCTTCCTGGAAGTCCACAGGCACCTACGTTGACGCGGTTCCCCCTCCTGGGGCGAACATCGTCAGTGGCATGTGGATCTTCAGGGTGAAGCGGCCGCCGGGCTCTCCACCTGTCTTCAAGGCACGGTACGTTGCTCGTGGCTTCAGTCAGCGGCAGGGAGTTGACTACTTTTAGACCTTCTCTCCCACCCCGAAGATGACTACTCTTCGGGTGCTGCTGCACATAGCCGCTCAGCGCGACTACGAGCTTCACTCTCTCGACTTCAGCACTGCGTTCTTGCAGGGTAGCCTGCACGAGGAGATCTGGCTGCGCCGTCCACCTGGCTTCACTGGGACTTTCCCTCCTGGCACCCAGTGGAGCCTCCGACGGCCAGTCTACGGTCTCCGCCAGGCACCGCGTGAGTGGCACGACACGCTGAGGACTACGCTTGCGGCTCTTGGGTTTGCTCCTTCTACTGCTGACCCGTCGCTGTTTCTTCGCACCGACACTTCCCTGCCGCCGTTCTACATCCTCGTGTACGTCGACGACTTAGTCTTTGCCACAGCGGACACTGCTGGACTCGCCTACGTGAAGTCCGAGCTGCTGAAGAGACACACGTGCACAGACCTGGGTGAACTGCGCAGCTACCTTAGCTTGCAGATCACTCGGGACAGAGCACGCCGCACCATTACCTTGACTCAGTCACACATGGTGCAGCAGGTCCTTCAGCGCTTCGGCTTCACGTACTCCTCGCCTCAGGCCACTCCTCTGCCTACTCGCCACTCACTCTCAGCTCTGCCTTCGGATGAGTCCGTAGAGTCGAGTGGTCCGTATGCAGAGCTTGTTGGCTGCCTCATGTACCTGATGACCTGCACACGACCTGACCTTGCATACCCTCTGAGCATTCTTGCACGCTATGTTGCTCCTGGGAGACACAGACCAGAGCACATGGCTGCAGCGAAGAGGGTATTGCGCTACCTGTGCAGTACGTCGGGCATGGGGCTAGTGCTTGGAGGGCGGAGTCCAGTGGTCCTTACCGGCCACGCGGACGCTTCTTGGGCTGACGACCAGGCTACGCAGCGGTCGTCACAGGGTTACACCTTCAGCCTTGGTTCCGGCTCTGTCTCGTGGCGGTCTACTCGCTCGTCTTCGGTTCTCGGCTCCAGTTGTGAGGCTGAGATCTACGCCGGGGCGATGGCTGCACAGGAGCTTCGCTGGCTCACCTACCTGCTGACTGACCTTGGAGAGCCGCCTCGTTCTCCTCCAGTGCTGTACGTAGACAACAAGGCCATGCTGGCCTTGTGTCGAGAGCAGCGCTTGGAGCACAGAACGAAGCACATTGCTCTCCGCTACTTCCTTGCTCGTGAGCTGCAGCAGCGTGGTCAGTTGCGACTTGCGTACGTGGCCTCTGAGGCCAACACTGCTGATGTGTTCACCAAGGCACTCGCGCCTTGTGACCATCAGCGCTTTTGCACCCAGCTGGGTCTTGTGCCTGTCTTGCCTCACTTGCTCTCCTCTTGACTTCACTTGTACTGTGACATATATATATACCTGCTCTTGCTTGTCTAGTTTTATATATATGTCTGTACTCCTGCATGTGAACTGGCCTCTGGCCCTGCTCTTGTGCTCGGACTGTGTGGTGACTTTGTGATCCACCCTGAGCTTGCTTTGCTTTGCTTGACTGGTCTTGTGACCCCTTGTTCTCCCCCACTTTGCCTATGGGGGTGTGTCAAACATTATATATGTTATGCTTGTGTAGGCTACAGTGGGTTAGCCTATAGGGGGTACACAATCCTAGGGTTTCCTACTTGTACTCATTTCACTGCTAGTTCATTCATTCCTGTTCGCTTATTCTCACAGTCGGTACAGTTGCCAGCAGTTTCTCCAAATCACTCGGCTGCTCATCTTTTTCTACGAGTGCGATATCCACTGCGTACACGTCAGCTCCAGCAGCGACAGCCCGTTTCATTGTGATGGCGTTGACCTGGACCGTCGAAGATTTGGGTGGCTGCCAGCGAGGTAGAACGACCCAGTTACCACTACTTCGCACTGTGCAGCTCCCCGTCGTCCAGTCGATCCGTGGGTTGTACCGTCGCAGCCAATCACGTCCCAATAAAATGTCGTGCCCATCCAGTGTCGTCGCGAGCATTTCCTGTGTAAACCCGAAGTTTCCCCCGCAGCGGACTTTTACGCGCTCCACCTTTTCCCGTATGGCCAGGGGCGTGCCGTCGACTAAGCGTGCATCTATCTCAGGTAAACATCGGTTAAGCGTTAACTGTAATTTTCGTGCGGTTGCGGTATTAACTAAGCTGTGGCTTGCTCCTCCGTCAATGAAGATCTTCACTGCTGCTCCCTGTATTTTCCCGTAGATCAGTACCGGGCAATCCGTCGCTGTGCCCTCCTTATTCATCCGAGCCCGATCGATGGCGTGAATCGGTACTGTGACTCGGTGAGGGTCGGTGTGGTTGGGCGAGCAGGCAGTCTCGTCAGTAGTTGGCCCAACTTCTACTGACTGCTGGCGTTTCCCTGCCTCCGAGACTCCCTCCCCTGCTCTGCTCCTCGACTCCTCAGCTCCTCTGGACATTCGCTCTTGCGATGGCCCGGCCGGTTGCAAGCAAAGCAGCGCCCTCTAAACGGCGCGGCAGCTGCATTCGCTGCGACGGCATGTACAGTGGCGTGCTCGGTCGGTCCCCGAGGACGATGTCCGTAATAGGACCCCGGTCTCGGTCGGCGTAGGATATCGATTTTCTCGGCGAGCGCGAGGATCTCGTTGAAATTCGAGAGCCCGCGTAGCATTATCTCGTGCGAGATGTCCGGCTTCAGCCCTCCGACGTAACGGTCCACCCGCTCCGCCTCGTGCATGTAGCCGACCTGTTCGCAAAGTGCGAGAAACCCGCTGGTGTAGTCTTGAACTGACCCGAGCTGGCGCCAAGTGCGCAGTTTCTGACGCGCCGAAATCGAGGCCGCGATCGGCTCAAAGCGCGCCCGAAGCCCTGCGCACCACGCATCCCACGTGCTGTATTGGGCGGTTTCGCAGAACGAACTCCAGGTAACAGCTGGACCCGAGGGCCCTTCCTCGTGCGACGGTGGCTCGTAGGCGCGCGGCGACGTCACAATGACTCGCCACCAGTCCATGGCGGGGCCCCTGAGTAGTGAAACCGCATACCGGATCTTGGCGGCGTCCGACTCGACGTAGTTGGCGTCGAAAAACACATTCATCGTGAAGACCCACGATTGAACTGTCGGGCCGCCGCGTTGGCTTGGGTCGAAGCAGGGCGGGCGTTGCGGCTTGAGTGGCATTGGGGCCATCATGGCGTTCTCGCCACTTGTCGCCGCAAACTCCACGTGCCAACGGGCTTCTCGGGGCTCCCGTGGGCTTAATGCGCTCCTGTTCCCTCCCATGCCGGGCATCGGTTGGGCTGCGCCGTCACTGGCTGCGCCTGAGCGCTGTCCCGTGCTGTTGTGTTGCGTTGGTGTGCCAGATGAGATGACGATGGGCTCCTCCGAATGTGCAGATGCATTGGTTGGTGCGTGTGATGTCGTCGGTACGTTCACCGTTGACTGTTGACGGGCAGAGTCACGTTCCGCCGTGAGAGTCGCGATTTCGAGCGCCGAATCCTCCAATTGACGCACGAGACGATCGAGTTGCTCCTGCGTCAACGTGGCGAGATTGAAATCGGCCACGGCGGGGGTGTCGGGCAAGCTCAGCGAGAGCCTCGGTCGTGGCCGTGCGTGCTTTCGAGAGAGCACTACGAGCGGCGGTGCTGTGTCGCTGAGAGACGTCTACCCCCCCCAAAAAATTGAGATAGTGGGAAGCGAAGGTGTGGATGCGGTCCGAGATGAGATCGTAGGCTCTGAATACCAAGTGTTACGAGTGCAATTGAGTGAACGAACGAGAAATGCACTATCGAAGCAAGAATACAAATGAGCGAAGGCATGAGCGAACATTATATAGCGAAACTACAGTGGTAACGGTAATGGTCGCGCGACGAGCCTGGGACTGAGGTTGGGAAAGTGTCGAAGCGTAGGTCCGGAGCGCGGGTTACCAGCCGAGCCGTGAGGTCGGGATGCGATGTGCGAAAAGGGCGGGATAATGAATGATGCGATGGTCGCGAGTGGTAACGGTGCTGACTGAGGTGCTACAGTGATGTACGCGTTGAGCAGGGACGCGAAGTAAGGAAAAGGGAATTTCCTTACACCTTTCCCCTTCTGATAGCAAGGCGCTCCGTCAGTGGTGGCAGAGCAGGGGCTTTTGCCGGGGAAAAGCTTTCACCCCGCGAAAACACGACGACTGACAGAAGGGTCGCACTAGTACTTCCATGCACAGACCACTTTCACCATCACCACTTCACACCGAGAATTCACCCTTTGAAATTCGAGTTTGCCTTGCTAGGGTGAATTTGTCTAGCAAGTACGGTACGTCAGCTTGACAACTTTCACTCACACATCAACAAATTCATCACTCCTCTTTCATCTTCTTCAGCTAGCGGGCATTCTTGACTAGATCAATACGCTCAAGTTAGCGTCCTTTCTTGGCTCACTCACGCCATCACTCGCGCAGCATGGGAGACAACGGCGATGATTCCGATTCGGATTTGCCGAGCCTCGTAAGCGAGAGCGATGTGGAGGTGCATGCGGGGGAGGCGGAGGCGAAGGACGAGGGGAAGGAGAGTGACGAGGACGCTGGTGGTGCCGGCGAGGAGAAAAGCTACGAGTTCACTCATGAGGAATACTACGAGGACATTTATGGCGACTTTGACGAAGAAGAAGACGATGATGACGACGACGACGACGACGATGGCGAAGATCTTGACGACGAAGAGGATTTTTGGGAAAGCGAGAGGGCCCGCGGTGGCGACGGTGCGAAGATGCTTCGAGGCCTCGTCGAACCCAAGGTTGGCGACCAGCGCGCCGGCAAGAACGCCGGCGGCGGCGACGGCGGCGGTGATTCGGGTGCTGCAGGCGCGCCGGGGCTGCGGAAGGGGTTTCTGAACCATGCGCCGGGAGTTGCGGGGGAGGAGGAGGAGGAGGGGGGAGCGGGTAAGGGCAAGGACGCGGGTTACATGGCGGGGCTGCGCCCGGGGTTCTTAAACGGCGCACACGTCGAGGAGGAGGACGAGGAGGAGGAGGAGGTAATCAAGAGTGGCGGCACAAAGGGGAAAGTGGGGAAAGGTGGGAAGGGCGGGAAGAAGAAGAAAAAGAAGGGGGGGAAGGGAGGGGATGGGAAGGCGAGTAGTGCGCGGGGCAAGACGACTGGTGACGGCGGCGGGGAGTTAGGTGCAGAATTGGAGGATGGCGAGGAGGGCGAGGAGGGCGAGAATGACGAGGAGGAAGAAGATGTCCATGTGGACGGGCACGTGTTCGGCGGCAAGCGCGCGCACTACCCCTATGAGCACCACGAGCAGCACGAGCAGCACAGGAACCACCCCAATTTCTCCAGCATCCCGGATTTCTGCGGCTGTCCCTTCTGCACCTCCTCCTTTTTCGGCTTCCCAGGGCAACCGGTTAGTCCGCGCGACCACAGCCGCAGGGAGGCGAGTCGGATGAAGGGGGAGTGGGAAGAAGCGGAGCGGGAGCGCGTGCGCGCGAGGCGCCGGGAACGGGCAGTGGCGCGGCGGAAGCGGGAGGCGGAGGAGCGCGAGCTGGCGAAGGTGCGCGCGGCGGAGCGCCAGGCGAGGAAGGAGGCGGAGGCGGAGCGGCGCAGGCGGGAGGAGGAGGAGCGGAAGGAGCGCGGAACGGTGGTTGCGCAGGAGCTGGCGGAAGCGCGTCGGTTGGAGCGGGAGCGCGAGCTGGCGGAACTCAAGGGCGCGGCGGGGGCGTCGGTCGAGGAGGAGCGCGCGGACGAGGTCGTGGGGCGCTGCTGCGCGGGGATCAAGCAGGCGGATTGCGCGGGGCAGGGCTCTGCATCCGCGGATGCGGGCAGCAAGGCGGGGGGAAGCGGGGCGGGCGGGGAAGGGGGGAGCGCGGGGTGTCGGTGCCCTGGGGGGAAGCCGCCTGTGGTGTGGGCGCAGAGGCGCATGAGTGTGAGGTGTAGCGAGGGGTGCAAGGTGGTGTGGCATTACGAGTGCTGGCAGAGCTGCAAGCGCGAGGGGGCGCGCGGCGAGTGGAAGGCGGGCGAGCTGTGCCCCACACCGGGTGAGGAAAGGGGGGGAAGACGGCGGGGGATAGGGGAAGGATGGGGGAGGGGGACGGGGAAAGAGGGAGGAGGGGGGATGGGGAGGGGGGAGAGGTGGGGGGAGTTGGAAGTGGTTGGCATGGGTTTGGGGGACGATGTTGGATCGTGTGGAGTAGGGAGGGTTGCTGTGACTTGTGAGTGATGGGAGGGCATCAAGACAACGTGCTGTTGTGGGCGGCCCACTGCACTTCACTATTTTCGTGCACACCGCAACCCCCCTCCTCCCCCCCTCCCCTCCGGCCCCTCTATCCATTCCCCCTCTCCTACGGGCTTCTCGTCCTGATTCTGCTCAATCTTGATACCCGTCCCTCTCACGCTTGCAAGTTTTCCATTGTCTCTTAGGTCTTCACCGTCATCCTAATTCGTCCTTGTGCTGTGTGTCTAAGTGCATTCGCGTGTATGTGTGTGTGCGCGTGCGTGCATGTGTGTGTGTGTGTGTGTGTGTGCGTGCGTGTGTGTGTGTGTGTGTGCATGTGTGCATGCGTGTGTGTGTGTGTGTGTCTGTGCGTGTGTGTGCGTGTGTGTGTGTGTGCATGTGTGTGTGTGTGTGTGTGTGCGTGCGTGTGTGTGTGTGTGTGTGTGCATGTGTGCGTGTGTGTGTGTGTGTGTGTGTGCATGCGTGTGCATGCGTGTGTGTGTGTGTCTGTGCGTGTGGGTGCGTGTGTGTGCATGTGTGTGTGCGTGTGTGCGTGTGTGCGTGTGTGTGTGTGTGCGTGTGTGCATGTGTGCATGTGTGTGCATGTGTGCATGTGTGTGCATGTGTGTGTGCACGTGTGCGTGTGTGTGTGTGTTCGCGCGCGCGCATGCATCTTGTGCTCTGTTGTTGTGACTCTCTTTCCGCATCAGATTGTGGTGGTGCCATCGTCAGTGCATGTCTGATGGAAAAAGATAAGGTATGATCCCATCCCGTCACATGACATGCCACGTCAAGCCACGTCAGGCCACGTCAGGCCACGTCAGGCCACGGCATGCCACGGCATGTCAGCCTTTACGCTTGCAAGGTCATCCCCAACGCTTGCGTTGCGTGCATGACCCTGTTTTCCATACCGTCCCACCATGCCCCTTCCAATGCACATACTCCATTCCATGCCATCCCATCATCTACATGCCTCTGAGACAACTCTGCTGCCCTGCTTGTGGCGCTCCGCTCCTGTGTTGTGCAGGTGACCCACTGGGAGGTGAAGGAGGAGAAGCCCTCGGAGGAGCACCAGAGGGAGAGGCGACGGGCCCGCGAGAGGGAGAGGGAGCGGGAGAGGGAGAGAGGGGAGGGGGACGACCGGAAACAGGGCGGCAAGAGGCGTGAGAAGAAGGGGAAGGTGCGTGGAGGAGGGAGGGAAGCTGCGGGTTGGAGCCGAATTGGGGGAATGGGATGGTTGGACAAGTGGGTGGGTGTTGGCTGGTAAGTGGCTGGTGGGTGGGTGGCTGTTGGCTGGTGGGTTGCTGGTGGGTGGGTGGGTGGGTAGGTGTTGGGTGGTGGGTGGTGGGTGGTGCTTGCAGGCTTGTGTATGGTTTGCCTGTTTATCCCTTCAGAATGGCTCCTAGTGACAGATCCTTGGGTTCCCAGTAGTGGGAGCGCACAGCAGAGCACATGTGATGAATGCTCAGCCTCCCCTCCCAGCACTTTTAGGAGGCTTGCAGGGGTTCGAATCCAGCCTTTTTCAAACCGTGGATGTAAGATGGCGCTTTTTTCTGTGTGCTCGAATGGTCGGTGCATTCTCGTTTTTTCTTGGCTTGCTCGTGCCCATGCCCTTCCCATGCCCTTCCCATGCCCTTCCCATGCCGGTCCCATGCCGGTCCCATGCCCGTCCCATGCCGGTCCCATACCCTTCCCATGCCTTGGCGCATGCCCATTCATGTCCCTGATGCCCTTCCCACTCCAATCTCGTGCCCTTACCCCCGCTCCCCTCCAAATGAGCGCAGGACGGAGCACAGGTGCCAGGCGCAGTGGCAGCAGAGGCAGCAGAAGCGAAGGCTGGGGAGGCTGTGAAAGGAGGAGGGGTGGCAGAAGGGAAGGAAGGGGGAGCGGCAGTGGAGGGGGTGGCTGATGGTAGTGCTGCTGCAAAGAGCGGTGGTGGAGAAGGGGAAGGGCCGTTGGGCCCAAAAGTCACTCCGGTAAGTTGGCTATGAGTATGTTGCGTTGCGACCTTGCATGGCCAGAAAGTCACTCCGGTTCTTTCGGGGCTATGCTTTGAATTTGATTTGTGAGTTGTTGATTAAAAGGGCACGCAATCACTTTAGTAGAGTAAGTTGCGACCTTGCATGATTGCGGCGCTTGTCTTTGCTACGCTAGGCCCCATTCGGCCCCGCCATCACCCACCCACCTCCCATCTGCCATGTTGTACCAACTCCAGCTAACATTGCCCTCTCCTCTCCTCTCCTCTCCTCTCCTCTCCACGGAACTAATCTTCACGTCTCTCTTTGTTGGTACTCCTGTCTTCCGTTTCCCCTGGGTGGCTCGCTTTACGTGCGTGGCAGGTGTGGGCGGAAGAGGACTGTGAGAGTTTGACCATGCAGGTGTACAAGAAGGGGGGCAGTGATGGGGAGGAGGAGGTGGAGGAGAAGTCAAAGAAGGCCATCAAGGCACAGGCGAAGGTAAGTGGGAGGGGGTGGAAGCAGGGAGCAGGGGAGCAGGGAGCAGGGAGGGAGCAGGGAGCATGTTGTGTGTGCGTGGAAGGTTGTTCTTACTCCAGTGTATCTGCTTGTGTGCACTCATTCATACCTTCTGCTTGTGCTTGTTTGCCTTACTCATGCATACATGTGCCTTTGGAATGTGACTGTGCACACCCACGTGCATGTGTGTGTGTATGTGTATGCACGTGCACACGTGCATGCGTGTGTGTGTGTACCATGCACATGCACACACATGCATGCACATGCGCACACATGCACACACATCTATGCACGTGCGTACACATGCATGCAGGCACAGAAGAAAGCACGGGGTAAGAAGGCAGTCCCTCTCACGGAGTTCATTCTACCTGCCGCCATCCCTCCGGCCCCACCCTCTCCAACTCTCCGCAACATCCTAGCTGACTGGCACAAATCAGGCGGGAGCAGTGAAGCCCCTGCTGCTGGACCTTCCAGCAGCCAGCAGCAGCCAGAGCAGCAGGAAAGCTTTGCCGTTGCAGATGGAGCTGCAGCAGCAGCGAGCACAAGCCGAAGCAGACCCGCTGCAAGCACAGCCGCCGCACAGCCAACCCCTGCTGCTCCTCCTGCTGCTGCATCTGCATCCGCTCCTGCTGCTGCTGCGTCGTTGCCAGGGGTCGCAGCCCCACCGTCTGCACCACTGCTGCTAGGAGGCAGTGCGTGGCACAGAGGCAGTCTGGAGGGCGACGAGGCATGCAGCAGGGAGCGCATGGAGCAGGCGCTAGGACCCTTTGTGGCCCGCCAGCACGTGAGCCAGGGGCAGAGAGGGAATAGGAGTGAGGGGGAAGGGGAGGGAGAGGGAAAAGTGTGGGAATATTACCTGTGAGTGGAGCAGGCGCTAGGACCCTTAGTGGCCCGCCAGCACGTGAGTGAAGGGCATGGAGGGAACGGGTGAGAGAGAGGGGGGGAAATGGGAGGGGTTGGGAGGATTGGCTTTGTCTGGTGTGGGGGTTCATGGTAAGGGGTGTGTGTGTGTGTGTGTGTGTGAGTGGTGGGGGAATGGATGATGGCAAAGCGGTTTGTTGGTTGTTCTTCTTCGGCTTCTGCTTCTCCATCAAACTGCGGATACCCTTGGTGTTCTCCTGTCTTCTCTCCCCTAATTGCCTTGTACTGCGTGGTTCCTGTGCATGTGCATGTGCATGTGTTTGTCGCTTCTTCCTCTCATGTGCATGTGCATGTGCATGTGCTGTGTATATGCATGTTCATGTGTGCATGTACATGTGCATGCGTGCATGTGCATGTGCATGCGTACAAGTGCATGTGCATGTGCATGTGCATGTGCATGCGTACATGTGCATGTGGCTGAGTGCAGGAGGAGGCGGCAGCATGCCATGTGTTGGTGGAGGGGGTGGCAGCAGCAGTGGACGAGGTGGATATAGTCACGTGCTTCACCAGTGCGCATGAGCACCTAGCTGCACTACACCGCTTCCCCCAACACCACCTCGCCGTTGTCTCCTTCAGGTGAGGGGCGCTGCTTCCTTCAGGTTGGTAATCTGCTCCGGATCACTCCACCTTTTCTCTCTGGCGATTTTTGAGGTGCCTCAAATACGCTGCTTCTTTCAGGTAGGTATTCCGCTCTGGGTTACTGAACCTTTTCCCTCTGGGGGCTCGGCTCGATCTCCCTGTTGCCATCTCCCATCCATGTTCGACTTACCGTTAGCTGCTGACTGGTTGCCTTTGCCTCTTCTGCAATCGCAAATGCGCATGCTTGTTTGTGTGTGCGTGTGTGCTTGCTTGTACGGGTGCATATGTGCACGGGAGCATGTGTGCATGTGTGCACGGGGGCATGGATGCATGGGTGCATGTGTTCATGTGTGCACATTTGCATGGGTGCATGTGTCCACATTTGCATGGGTGCATGGGTGCACATGCGCATGTGTGTGTGCCGGGCACTGGCCATGAACAGCACACCATCGGAGGCATGTCATGCGCGCAAGGTGTACAACGGAGTGCATCTGCAAGGCGCACCCATCACCACTCGCTACCTCCTCTCCCAGGTATACCAGAGTCATTTTTTATTTTTTTCAAACATTATCACTTGCTACCTTCTTTCCCAGGATACCACCATAGTATACCACCTTGGTGTGGTGCCCCAGCAGCTACGAAAAAGTGAAGAAAAAAAAAACCAAAAAAAGTGCAATTTTTTTTTTCCCTTTGGACAGTTTACAACCAGCATTCCAGTCTCAGACCCACACGACCACTTCGACGGTCCAACCACACCCGAATTTTCACTCCTCTCCCTGTGCCGTGCCTCACAACCCTCCTCCCTGTGCTCCAGGTCCCTCCGCCTGACATTTTCAGCGAGTTCCCTCCCATGCCCACTGCTGCCGCCACGCCTGGAGGGGCTAGTGGGGGGGCGGATGGGGCGAGGAGAGGTGGAGGAGGGGGAGCAGGAGGAGGAGGGAGGGGAGGGGGAGGAAGGGCGGGAGGAGGGAGTGAGGGGCGCAGTGGGGGAGGAGCGGGAGTTGGAGCGGCTTGGATCAGGGTGGAACCTGCGGCAAGGGAGTCACGTCCAGGTGAGGACTGTCATGTTCTTGGGGTGACTCGCACCATATGATCATGGTGAAACTCTCTTTCTTTACTTGCTAAAGGCGCTCTCTAGCACTGCCGCTCTTCTAAACCATGAGTGACGACCACAGGTGAGGACTGTCATGTTCTTGGGTTGAATGGCATTACATATGGTATTATCTTTCAAGATTATGGTGCAACCTGCTGCAAGTTGGTTGTTGAGAATTTTGAGGATATAAAAGTGTGAACCTGCTGCAAGTTGGTTGTTGAGAATTTTGAGGATATAAAAGTGTGAACCTGCTGCAAGTTGGTTGTTGAGAATTTTGAGGATATAAAAGTGTGAACCTGCTGCAAGATAGTTTTGAGGCTGTGTGTTGGGGAAGGCTGTGATTGCCTTCCCGGTTCCCATCCCCTCTTCCTCATTCCCCGCTCCCTCTTTGAACCCCCCACCCCCTGTGTTCCCCCTGTGGCAGCCGTTCAAAACCCATCCAAGGCCATGAAACACCCGTCTGCCTCCACCCCTTGCGTTCCGTCTGTGTCAGCCGCTTCAATCCCACCTAAGGCCAACAAGCACCCATCTGCCTCTGCCGCTACCCCATCTACCAATCCACCTGCTCCCCTCACCAAGCCATCCAAACGAGCCCCTGTCCCCACGCCCGCTGCTGCGGCTCCCCCTCCCTGTACCCCTGCTCCTGCTCCTGCTCCTGCTCCTACCGCCACACCTACCCTTTCCTCTCACGGCCCAGCATCTGCTGCTGTGTGTGGGGGTGGGACGAGTGGGGAGGAGGAGGGTGGGCGGGTTGAGAGTGGTGCAGCTATGTCAAAGAAAGAGAGGAAGAAGCTGAGGAGGAGGCAACGGGAGGAGGAGAAGGCGAGGGTGGTGGAAGAGGAAGGGAAGAGGGTTGCGGAGGAGGTGGTGGTGGATGCTGGGGACAAAGTGGAGGAGAGGGAGGAGGAGGGGGTGAAAGAGGTGGAACAGGAGGGGCAAGTTCGGGGGAAGACGGAGGGGAAGGGTGGGGAAAGGATGGAGGTGACGAGGGAGGGGGGAGTGGAGAGGAAGGGGGAGGGGAGGATGGAGGGGGGTCTGTCGAACGGAAGGATGGGGGAGGAGGAAAAGAGGGAACAGGTTGTGCTGGCGTCTCAACAGGGGCAGGAGCATGATCAGAAAGGGCAACGACAAATCGAACAGCAGCAACAGGTCCAACAACAGCGGCAGCAGCAGCAGCAACAACAGTTACAACAGTTACAACAGCAGCTGCAACAACTGCAGTTGCAACAGCAGCCACAGCAGCAGCAAAACCAGCAACAGCAGGGGCAACAGCAACAGGAGCAGCAACAGCGGCAGCAGCAGCAGCAACAACAGCAGCAGCCACGACTGGAAGTGCAAAGATCTAACGATCTTGACATGAGTGTTCTCTTTCCACATCTTTTCCCCAAGGCACGTCACCCCCCTTCTGAGTCGTCTCGGAAAAAAATACCCCCACCCCTCCACTCGGTTGATTTCCCCTTGATGGAAGAGGGTGTTTCAATATTCTTCAAAACACTCGTCTCCTTGTCCGCTTTGCCTTTCGCTCGGCATGAGCAGATTGCACAAACAAATTGTAGTATCAGATTGCATTGACAGATTACATTGACACGTCACATTGACACTTCACATTGACACGTCACATTTGGTTGGCTCAAACTCCATGGCTCCCTCTTTTTCCCTTTCTGCCTTTAGTTTTGTGCTATTTAGGATGCCCTCACAGCTTGACACACTTCGTCTCATCCATTCACCCAACACACAAGTCCCGAATGTAAGCATCTTCCTCCTCTCTCACATTCGGCTTTCCTTGCCTGTTCCTTCTCTCTTGCTCTCTGCAGGCTCGTCCCATGCGACCCTCTGTGCCCACTGCCGCTGCTGCCTCTGCTGCCACCGCTGCTGCCACTACAGCTGCTGCCACTACAGCTGCTGCCACTGCTGCTGCGGCAGCTGCACCATCCCCAGCAAGCGCCATGCACTCCCATCCTTCACATCAGCCTCCTCCACGCCGCCCTTCCTCCGTACCCCCCTCCAAGCCACCATCCTCATCTGCTTCAGCAGCAAGCTCCCTCACCCCCTCTCCTCCGCCCCTCACAGGGACTTCCCTGCCCTCTGCTTCCTCCTGTCCCCCCTCCCTCGTGCCGCTGCACGGTGCTTTTGCATCCTCCTCCTCCTCCTCCACCACCCCATCGCCACCTCCGCTTGTGTCTTCCCCTTCTGCCCCTGCGTTTCCTGCCAATTTCTTCCCCGCTGTCTTCCAGGTAGGGGGTTGAAAGGCCACTCCTTGGGTTTCAAGAAGTTGTTTTTCTTGTCATTCTTCCTCCCTGCCTTCTGCGCAATTCGTTTCCCACTGCACACCCTTTGTTTAGCTATTGTTTCGTTGATCACCTACCACGCATCTTTTAGAAGCTTTCAAATCCGCCTGATTACCACTACATGCCCCGTTGTTTCACCCTGTGATCAGTCCATCAGTGACCTACCCCTTTCGCCCTGCTCCATCCACATATTTCTTCTGACTTACCACTTTTCACAAATTTCCCTGAGGCATGTGTGCTCTTGTCCATCCCATCCCATAACACCGGATTGCACCACACTACACCACATCGCATCCCATCGAACCAGGTGGCATCCGCCTCATACCACCGAGTGCGCTCCCTGCCGCTGCCCTCTGCCCCTATCCTCGGTCTCCTGCCCCCGGGATCGCTCGTTGTGGGCACTGCATGTCAAAGCACCTGGCTGAGGTTCTCACCTTGCTCTTATAAAACCCATGACTATCCACCTCTCCCTCCCTTTTGTTACCACTGGATGTGAAAGCACCACATTCAGGTTCTCCCCTCTTTCATTGAACCTTGGATCCTCAGCCTCTTCCTCCGTTCCCCCCTCCTGCTGGCTCTCGCACTTGCTCTCACCTGCATTCGTTTCTGCTCTGCACTGCACGCACTCCCACTCACACCCACATTCGCTCTCATGATTGCACAGTACGGCAACAACACGGCGCCTGCACTTGTATAGTTTTGAGGCGCCTGCACTTGTATAGTTTTGAGGCGCCTGCACTTGTATAGTTTTGAGGCGCCTGCACTTGTATTGTTTTGAGGCGCCTGAACTTGTCTAGTTTTGAGGCGCCTGAACTTGTCTAGTTTTGAGGCGCCTGAACTTGTCTAGTTTTGAGGCGCCTGCACTTGTCTAGTTTTGAGGCGTCTCAGAACTAGTACAGCAACGACACGACGCCTGCACTTGTTATTCCTCCCAGCTTCCCTCGCGCATGCCACTACGCACCAGCTCTGTTCAGCCTCCCACTTTCTGCCAGCCCCCTCCAGATAGGAGTGACTTCTGACTCAGTTGTTGGTCATGTCATGTCTGCTGGTCCTGCTTGTATCTGCCCCTGTTATCCTGTTATCCCTCTTTCGTTCCCTCTGCGTTGCCTCTGCTTTCCTGATTCTGCTCCTCCCTCCAAATCTGCTCCTCGTATTCCGAGTCAGCTCAAAATACATTCTTCCTGACTCTTCTCCTTTGTCCCGTCCTTTTTTCTGTCTCCCACCTCACCTCCGCATCTCTTCCCATCTGCACCTCTTCCCCTCCTGGCCTCGCAACCGCACACGGCAGGGTGGTAGTGCCAGGGCACGCAGAGGCATGGTCGCTGGCATCCAAGGGCTCTGCTGCGTTTCTTGTGTCATGCGCCACACCCATGCATGTGAGATGATCTTTCTCCACACCCATGCATGTGAGATGATCTTTCTCCACACCCATACATGTTAGACAACGTGTTTCTCTTTTTTATTAGCATTCTCGAAACCCGATCTGCTGCTTTCCTTGTGGCATGCCCCGCCCAGACCCATCCATGTAAGCTCTTCTTTCTCCATCCAACCCATGATGATCCAATTGTTGACTTCTGTACTCAGTGGTCTGCATTTAATAACGATGCTTTGTCTGACCTGCTATATCACGCCTACGCGCATTGTACTGCTGCCGTGCCACTCACATTCTCAATTCTGTTCGCCTCTGACCTGCCTGCCTCTTATCTGCAGCTCAATTCTGTTGTGGAAGCCACCATCCTTGCACCAGTGGTGCAGCAGCAGCAGCAACAGAACCACCAGCAGCAGCAGCAGCAACAGCAGCAGCAGCAGCAGCAGCAGCAGCAGCAGCAGCAGCAGCAGCAGCAGCAGCAGCAGCAGCAACAGGACCAGCAGCAGCAGCAGCAGCTGCAGCAGAACCAGCAGCAGCAGCAGCAGCAACAGCAGCAGCAGCGCCTCTCCCCTCCATCATCCTTCCCTCTGCCTCTCTCCCTCATGCTGGCACAGCAGTCTGGTCCGCCCCCTGCTGCCTCTTCATCCCTCAAGTCCACATCAGCACCGTTTGTTCCCACAGTGTCAGACAGTGCCGCTGCTGCAAGGGCAACCAACAGCTCACTGTCACCAGCAGTGGGAGGAGGGCAGTGGATGGGTGGGGTAGCTGGTGCGACAGTAGCAGCAACACACAGCAATGGTGGTGGTGGTGCTACACTTCGTGCCAATACACCCGCGTTCATCCCCAGTGATGTTCCCACTGTCACAGTCCCCGCTACCCTCGCTGCTGCCCCCCCCAACGTGTCTGCTGTTGCGCTTTCCAGTCCGAATCACCCCTTGCCTGGTGCTCTTGCTGCTGCAATTGCATACCCATCGGCACCACCACCTGCGCCGTCCCTGTTGACATTTGCATCAGCACCGTTTGTGCCTCACCAGGCATCCGCTGCTCCGCAGCATGTGTCCATGCCACCTCAGCAGGCCCTTTCAGCCTCAATCCATGCAGTACAGGCTCCTCATGTGCCTTCTGCAGCTGCGGCTGTTGCTGCTGCTGCTGCCAGTCCCTCTCCACCACCTCCTGCGGGCACCATGGCCATGCATTTGCACCTGGAACCTTCCCAGCAGCGCTTTCACTCCTCCCAACAGCACACACATGCTTTTCAGCCGCACGCACAACCCCCCCAGCAGCACGCACACCCGCCTGACATCTGCCGCTGGTGCTTCTCCCGACGGTCCGAGTACCTTATTGTAGATTGCAGTGAGTGGGGGGATTGCAGTGAGTGGTGATTGCAATGAGTGGTGTGATAGCAATGATTGGTGTGACTGCCATGAGTGGTGTGATTTTTTTCTTTGGTGTGATTGCAACGAGTGGTGTGATTGCAATAAGTGTTGTGATTGCAATGAGTGGTGTGATTGCAATGAGTGGTGTGATTGCAATGAGTGGCATAATGGCAGTGGTAACGTGATGGCATAGAATCTCAAACACTTGCCTCTTTATGTTTGGCTGTAGGAGTACATGCGAAACTCTCCAACAATAAGAGCGCATACCCATTGTGTGTTTGGCAGGGCATCTTGGGCCGTGCACGTCATGCCATGACACGGCACCGTTTGATGGGGTGTGCCATCTGCCCACGTGTCGCAAGCCCATTGGCCGTCTCCATCGCATCTACCGTTAGCTTGTTGGCTCGTCTATCGACTTCAACATGAAGAGGAGGGGGACGAGCGGGGGGGGGGTAGAGGGTGTGGGAGGGGGTGCTTACCAGAACTTTGCACTGACATTCCAGGATAGTTGGTTGCCGCTGAGTGGCCATTGGATGCAGGTTACCATACCAAATTCTTCTCCCTGCCCTTGAAAATCTCTGGTTCTTAGAGATGACAGGAAACCTTGCGGAGTGCCTCAAAGCATGCGGCGTCCATATGCAATACAGGTTGTGAGGGGAGCTGACCACGTGTTCCCCTGGATTGGACGTAGGAAACATGTACATACCTGTACTAATGTTGTGGTTCTGACAATGGAGGCAGATAACATGCTGGCCACACAATGACATTAGCTGCGGCCAACTTGTTCGCTGACAGAGACTTGGGCGTTGTATGGTCAGGGTTTTTCCTTCAAAACTTCCTTTGAAGGTTGCATATGAAAAACGGCACAAATTGTTGAGCAGGGTGTCTTGATCCCTGTCCTATTGGCTTGTTCAAATTATATGAAAGAGCGTGGCTGCACACTCCTACCCCTGAAAGATCAGCTCAACCTGCCACAGGCTCCTCAATGGTAATATCTGTAGTGCAGGTATCACAATGCAGGTTTGGCCACCGCTCTGTACCTGCTAGGGTTATTGCATGGCTTCTACTGTGCTCCAATAGGAATTTATTTAGCGCAGAGATTTATGACGGGTTTCTTTTTATCGCACGCTACTTCTGTTCGGACAGGGAACCTCTCAGCTGTTCGTTTTGCAGCAATGACAAACGCGAAGAGCCAATTACCGTCATCGCCCGGATATAAGACATATATGTCTTATCTCGTACACGGGCAAAAATGCTTGAGTTATCTTGTAAACGGGATGGTTTAGGGTGTCTTATAAGTCTTATAAATGGAAAAAAAAATCAAGTTGACTGTAACACTTGCAAAGTGTGTAGAAACCACCCAAAGACCAATTTCATTTAAACAGGCCGACCTCGGTGGTGATGCATGCAGCGCCCACACTTTCCACGTGAGGGAGCTGCCACCGCTGGCAACATTCCTCTGTGCTGGCAGCATCTAATGATGCTGCCAGCGTCGTTTTGCTGCCAGGAGCGCATGGATGCTTCCAGAACGCTGCTAGCAGCACGTTGGCAGCGTGAGGGTTGTCCTCTACGAGGAGATGCCTCGTAGAGGAGCGGCTCGGCACCTGTGGATGGGGCACTCTGGCTTGGGGGGGTAGTCGGGCTCTCACTTCATTTCGTGCTCAAGGAGGTTGAATACTCGTCTCAACCTTGCTCTCGGCAGGCTCTCTAACCATGCGCAGCAAAGTACCAGTAGGCAAGTCCTCACCTCGTCCTCACGTGCAGGTTAATAACTACGGGCGAATTAACTCGCCCGGCGATGACATCCGTGTAGCCATGGCGAAGAACGCGAGCAAGGCGGCAAGTCCTACCGCCGCCTCCGGTGCGAGCTGTGACGGGGACGACGGAGACGAAGCGAACGGCGACGACGCCGAGGAGGATTGGCCGGAGAACGGCCACGACGACAGCGCTTCAGGCGACGATGTAGGTCCTGCTGACATCGAGGAGGACGACTGGTGGAATCGGCCGGTCGGGAGCGACGACGAGGTGGAAGAGTGGCATGCTGGTGATTCTGACAACGACGGAGGTAAAGATGCGCATGGTAACAACGCGGAGGCAGCGGCGGATGCACAGGAAGCGGCGGTGGATGCGAATGAGGAGGCTGACGACGAGGCGGGGGCGGAACTTGAGACATTTGCGCCTGCGGATGCGGCCGCAGTTGCGGATGCGGAAGGCGAGGAAGGCGACGACGACGACCCATGGAGCTTTGGGACCGACGACGACGTCCCGCTACTGAAGCGGGGGCTGCGCCATCGCCTACAGTCCAAGTCAAAGCGGGCCCGCGTGGTGCTCTCTGACGACGACGGTCCGGGGGAGGAGCGTCGCCCGATACTCACCGCTGCGGAGAAGGGGAAAGCCAAGGTCGCGGAAGCCCCTGCTAAGGCCCCTGCTAAAGCCCCTGCTCGTCGCCGCACAAGCAACAAGAAGCTGACATCCGACGGAGACCCGGGATCCAGCAAGGGTGCGGCTAAGAAGAAGGCGAAGAAGGCGCCGAATCCTGACGACATCGTCGTGAACGAGCCGCTGGGCAGCGACGATGAGTACGCGGCGGCGGCGGGCCCGATTCCCACGTTCCCTGAGAAGGTAACGCCGAGGGACCCCACCCTCCATAATCCCAACACCCGCCCACCTTCCCCTCGCAGCAAAGACACTACGAAGAAGCGCCGCAGTTGGACCGTGCGTGAGAAGCTTAAGTGGGCGCGCCGCTATTAGGAGCTCGGCTCCTTGAAGAAGACGAGCGTGGAGTCAACCGCGTCCATCGCCTGCATCAGACGCTGGTGTGCGGAGGCGGAAGCGGGCGTCTACAAGGGCGCGGCCAACTGCCGCAAGCGGATGCACGGGGGGGGGCGCCACTCACACTACCCCGACATGGAGGCAGCGTTGTACCGCTAGATCTGCCTTCAGCGCGCTAACGGGGTGGCCATCTCGGTGAAGGACACCCAGAAGTGGAGCCGCGAGTGGATGAAGAAGCATAACCCCGGCAAGAACTGGAACGCGAGCTCTCACTGGAGCCAGCGTTTCCGTGACCGCTGGAACCTGGTGATGCGGGTGAAGACCAAGGTCGGCCAACGTCTGTCGGCAGGTGCGTGTTGAAGGATTTCGTCTGGCGCTCTATTGAATGCATGTACCTTACCCAGTGTCTAACCATCCCGTGCTTCCGTTGCGCTTGTCCCGTTTGCAGAGTGCGCGAAGGACTGCGAGTCCTTCTGGAAGTTTGTGCGCATCAACAGGGCGCGGCACAAAATCGACCTGGCCCGCATCATCAACGCGGACCAGACTCCACTATTCGTGGAGATGCCAGCCGAACGGACGATCGAGCACCGTGGCGCGCGCTCGGTCCCAATCCGCACTGCAGGCTACCAGAAGACGCGCTTGACGGTGATGCTCGCGTGCACTGCATTCGGGGAGAAGCTGCGGCCGTGGGTGTGGTTCAAGATGAAGAACGTCCCCAACTGTGAGATTCCGGAAGGTAAGCGAGCGTGAATTCAACCGTGCGACTGCCTGATGAGCGTGCCCCACTGTGCTGATGCCCGTCTGTCCCTTGTGTGCCTGGCAGGAATCGTGGTCCAAGCACAGGACAGCGGGTGGATGGACGAGACCGCTGTGCAGACCTGGCTGTCCAAGGAGGTGCTGCCCCATCTGAACCCCCAGCGCGGCCAGAACGCAAGGCGGGCGATGCTGGTGTTGGACTCCTACTGCGGTCACATCACCCAGACCATGCTTCAGACGTACCGCACGCACAGCATCACCCCTACAGTCATCCCAGCGGGTTGTACGAGCCAGATTCAACCCCTGGACGTCTCCATTAATCGGTGCTTCAAGGCTGCTGTGCGAGCGCGCTACGCCAGGTGGTTCATGCGTGAAGGGATTCACCTGAAGACGAAGAAGGGTGAGTTGGTCCTTCATTTACGGTTCTATTCATGTTCTGTTTCGTGTCCTTGTCTTAAACATGCTCCTTCATATCCGTGTCTCTTACATCTCGCTGCCCCGTCCTCTGTCCCACCCGCAGGGAACCTGCGGAGGCCTCCGCACCCCGTGGTGCTGCAGTGGATCGCGGAGGCTTGGGATCAAGTCCCCAAGCAGATCATCATCGACGCGTTCCGCCACTGTGGGATCTCGAGCAAGCTGGACGGAACAGAAAACCACCTGGTGATGTCTCACCTGCGCGCCAGGAGCACCACCGATGTCTCCGCGGACATGTCTCTCGGGGGGACCACATGCGACAACACGCGCGCGCCTGCTCGGTCGGGCTCCAGAGGAGGAGGAGGAGGCGATGCAGGCGGAGGGCGTGCGGGAGGTGGCCGTGGCAACCGGCCTGGAGGTGCTGTACCAGGAGACCCCCAACTACCGCAGAGCGGCGGCCGAGGCTGACCGCATGATCGAGCCTAGGGAGACGGCTAGGCATGTCTGGCGAGTGCCAGACCTGGGTATAGAGCCTGATGTTAGTGCAGGTGAGGAGGCGGTGACTGAGGGGGGTTAGGTAGAAGTAGAGATTCATGACTGTATGCATGTACCCCCCTAAAGTAGGAAAGCTAGCTAAGAAGACACCCCCTGTTTATAAGAAAACCCCTAAACCCTGGTTCTGATTATAAGACATATATGTCTTAACTCGTACACACAAATAGGTGTCGTATAAAAAGGCTAGCTTGTTTATAAAAAACACCCGTACAGTAGACAACCCCTGTCTACTATTCAACACTGTCTTATATCCGGGCGATGACGGTACATGGTTGGTCATCTATTATAGTAAACATGTACCTGTGCTGTTTAAACTGCATTAGTTATGTTATTTTGTGATGTAGCTTGATAATCTGCAGTGCAATATGAAGTGTATATGGCATCTTTTGCTTGACTGCCGTCTCTTGATTGGCGGTGGAAGTCTGAGAAAACTGTACACAAGTCACAAGTTGGATGGCGGGGATGTAGGTAATGAGTGCCAAACATTCCCGCCAATGTTGACACGAATTGACACCAAGACGACGATATTTTTAGTTTCTTGGGTCGGTAAAACAGCTGGACTTGCGAGCAATGAAAGAATATACGCTGGTTAAAATGCTCTGTAAACAACGTCAAAACCTTTGTTCAGCAGTAACTGTATACGGGCTGATATGGCAACTAGCTCAAACATTCAAGATGTTTGTGCAAAAGGTTATACACCCTGTTTCGCGCTAGCAGAGCATCTGGTTGCAGAACATGCACTGGTTGTAGAACGTCACCACGTTTGAAATGGTCTTATCACCGACGGTACAAGCACATTCACAAGAAAGCGGTTAGCTAGGATGCTGCATGGTAAAGAACATTAACCAAGCGTTTCAAAGCGGTTGAAAAGGGTATACAGCGATAAAGAAAAATTTTG